CCTTCCCTTCAGTCTTGTATCTGACCTCCGTCCTTCCCTTCAGTCTTCTATCTGACCTCCGTCCTTCCCTTCAGTCTTCTATCTGACCTCCGTCCTCCCCTTCAGTCTTGCACAGTGGTACCGGCTCCTCTTCCTCCGATGTCACTGCACACTGGGAGCTCCTCACAATGTGCAGCAAGTCAGATAGAGCTCCGCCTCATTTCCTGGCTGGAGGACGCCCAGCATCATCTAGCTATTTTACCACCCCAGCCTGACAAGTCCCGGACCCCGCCCCCTTTCCTTCATTGGATTTCAGTTCTCTTAATCATGGAGGCTCAGCGCCACATGTGGGTGTTACCTCGAGTTGTCTGCTTGCAAATGAAGATAGATGAAAGTGGTCACTCGCACTCCATGATATTTAAAGTCGATGCTGTTTATTGGCTGAGATAACACGCATCTCCTTAGCGACGTTTTTCGAGACCACGCGGCCCCGTCCTCAGGCAAACAGAGAGTGAGTCAAGCAACAAAATCAAACCACCAATCACAATGCAGTTGATAGCTCCTCCCCTGATGTCCTAACGACGTGATTCACACCATGCTGCCCGGCTGCACTTATCTACATGCTGAGCACACGATACAGACGCATGCTGGGTAATCCGTAGCGGTGATCCGCACCGCCCGAGATCTACCCGCTTTTTCCCCCTCCGTGTCACACGTGGATCCGAGTTGCTGGCTGCTCGTGCCTAGGGGGCGCGGCTCCCGCGATGTGTGTCGTCTGCGCGTACGTATGTATATATTACCAAAGATCATTGCGTCGGCCGACGAGTGTCGGGAACCCGGATCAGGTGACTGATCGGTCGCTAGGTAACCGGGCGACGCTTGTCGGTCAGAGTGGCGCAGTTGAAGGGATACTCTTCCCATGTTTATGGAAGAAGTTTGATGATGTAGCCGCCGGTCAGAGTGTGTGATGGATCGCTCTCTTCTCTATAGGGAGAAGCTCCTCGGCACGCACTCCTAAGATTGATTGTATTTCTGAGTGAGCGCACTTCCACTCACGGCGAGTCCCTCCTCTACACAATCCATCGACAACTGTGTGCTATTAACATAATCCCGGCACGGGTGACAACGAGGAGTACGGGTGTAAAGAGGAGGTTCAGCCGACCGCCTCCAAAGATGTGCACGGTCCAAGCGGATCTTTCACAACATACTACTACTGAGGACCATTGGCTGCTCGCAACAATGGAGATCAGTTCCCTTTATACGGTCGCCCCCAATGGAGGCCGCTCCACCCCCACCCTGAGGCCGCTACTCCTCCCCCCCC